TAGGTTTACTTCTTTACCCTCCGCCACACATCTTACTTACCTTCCTGTGCTAAGAATGGCAAGAGATTCCCCATTTTAATATGACTATGAGGTTAAATTAATGCAACACAGTTGAATGTATAAAGAGTCGAAAAGACAATGTTAAGAGAACAATAGTGAATGGTTACATAATAGGAGAGGAGATAGTTGAGGGATGCGAGGGACCAGAGTGAAAGAAATCTTGTTTACAAAACATTTATTATTATGTGAGATTGTGAAGATAATTTTTATCACATTTTGATTTATGCTATGTTAAAATTGTGCAGAATAAACATACCGTGGAGACTAGTTTATTCCGTGGAGACTAAGGCAAAGGCGTTAAAGGAGGCAGGGGGACTTTTGGTTGTTCCATTAATAGATGGGTCCCTGGGGAGGGGCAGACGAGGACAATGAAATAATACCCTTTTCAGCTTGTGAAGAGTGGGGGGGAAACCAAGTGAACAAGATCTGCATTGCTTTCTATATTTTGGCCCCTCAAAAAAAGAAAACACATAAAAGTGAATTATTATCATCATGATCATCATTATTATCATTATTATTATTATTTTCACTTTATGGCTATGCCGCTGCAAAAGCATACTTGCATCACATATATGTCGCTTTCCCTTCCTCACAGAATTCATTATTTTTTATACCTCAACCAGAAAGATAGAAGCAATTAATTTATTAAAAAATACTCATGCATATTTGAGTTTAAACACGTTGGGGCACATTCATACGGGAAAGAGAACCACCAAAACATGAATCATTAATTAAATCGTGACCAATTATTTGAATAAGAGCAGTAATAGTGGTGGCAGCAACACCGGATGCAGGTTAATATTTTTTATAAGAAATAATTTATTCACGCAAAAAAAAAAAAGAGTAACGTCATGAGCACCTATAACTTTTAATTGAAGGGGTCCAAGAATCTCCGCCTTTGTCATCCTCATAGCTCAATGCGTACCTATGTGACTTTAATTGTATAATATGCAAAATAAAGGTGGTCCGTTCCACATTGTCAAAAGAGCTCCCAAGAGATAAGATGAGGATAGATATGCAAGAGGCTGAGCTTTGCCTTTGCTCCTGCCACTTGCATTGCACATTATTATAAAACAAAAATGTGGTTGCAGTGTCATTCGGGTCTTTTCATTTCAAAAGGGGTTTAAAACGGTGCTGTGGAAAGAGAGGTTAAAACGGTGGGAAAATTATCCCTAGATCTCACATCTTAATGAACCAAAATCCTTGACAGCCTCACATGGGAATTTCAGGACCCGGGACCCACCCCCATGCTTTGATGCTACTTTTGATTTTTGAGTGGCCTAACGGCTCTCAGAGCCTCAGTTCTCGGTGGGGCCCAGGTGTTTTGTTCATGCTATCAAGGGCAAGACCGGACTTTCCATTCCCCGTTATCGGCTAGATGAAGCCACAGATAGACACATCATCATACATGTATGGTAAGCATTTTGTTTAAACTGATTTAACATGATCTCTTTTTTTTTTCCCCTGACCAGAGGTTCAACATGATCTAGAGCAATAGCTTAAGATAATAAGCTATCATAACAATCATAGAAAAGACAAAGGGATGATATTTACATAATAGACTTATGCCACGTGTAAGATACTCGCAATAAAAGCGAAGCACACTTTTCGGAATAAACCACTTTCACATATTGTGCCGCCGCCGCTGTTGCTATTCCACGTATACTTTCCAGTGCCTCTAATCTAATCTAATCTAATCAATTAAAAATTAAAAAAAAAACCTATTACTATTATAAATAAATGACAAGCTGAACCGACTCGCTGAATGCATATACTAGGTATCGTGAAATTTTGACTAAAAAAAAGAAGCAAGCATCGTGAAATCAACGTTGGAAAAATCAAGAGACTCCATAATCTGAACCATACCAGAATCAGAAAACAGAACCAACCAGAGATGCCCGAAAGCTGGAACGCCGCGTTTTAAGATTTTTGAATATCCGTCAGCAACGGCACCGGCTGCCTCTGCCGGATAGCTATTCATACTCACTTTGCAAAAACAACGATGGGGTTCTTCCAACCCCTCAAAAGGCATCATCTGCTCCACCGCTGTTACTTCCACAACTACTTGAAAAGAAATAGGAATGCCTAGTCACAACAGCGACTTAAGAGACAGAACTAAAAATTGTGGAATTCTATTGTATTGAGCTAATCTGATACATATTTTCCTGCTCCTCCTTGCAGATATATTGAAAGATGTTTACTGTTCCTCTTTCTAGTCTACGAGACAAATAATAATTAATAATAATGACAAAATAAAGAGGACAAGTAAGAGGAGAAGGAAAACGTAGGAAGACTTCCATCAAGTCCCCAGAAGAAGGAAAGGTGGTTCTTGCCCTTCCTTTCCTCCATCATTTTTCATCCTCTAGTAAGCTGCCAAAAGAATGCGTCCAAAGCAACCTCCCCCACCATCAACCACCTCTAAAGAACAAATTGAATTTTGATCCGACTTCAAGATCAACTTGGTCAGATTATGAACACAAGTGTACAAAGATTACTACACACTTCAGACACATCCCATAAATTTCTTACTTTCCATCCAAAATTTGAGAAATCCCTTCCCCACTGCCATTTGAATCTTCTGGCCGTGCTTTGCTGGGTTTGCCCTTCCATCCCTGAACGCCCAAGGGCAAAATAGCAAGAAAACTTCTGCCTCCATTGAAAGGATTCATCTTTCTCGGCAGGAACCTTCCTCCAATTCATCACTTTATTCAGATAGGTTTTCCTCCTTGTTTGCTGTATGCACAATGTTTGCTCCGTAAACAACAAAGAGCTACCATTTTACTCGCCTGCAGGTTGTTTCTGTTCTGCTGGCTTCACTTGAACTGCAGCAGGTACAGCGTAAGAGAAGCTGCTGTGAACAAGCTGATGGTGGTTGCCTGCTGATTGTGCTGCAGCAAAGTGGGCAGGATGCAAGAAACCATGGGTTGGTAAGCCACCACCTTTCATATTGTTTGCAGTATTAACAGCAACCTTGGAAGAATCGGCAGAGCTGGTATTAATAATTGTAACAGCAGGACATAAGGACAACATGCTACTTGAAGTAGAGCCCGAAGGGCTTTGCCGCTGCATATGAGGATCAAGGCCACGCCGTTGAAGGTAGTAGCCACTTGCAGCTGAAGTTGTAGAGGTAGAACTACTTGACTGTGATCCTTGAGGATGCACATAAGCATTGGAGAAGAACAGCTGTGACTGCGGTGATGTTTGCTTAGATATTTGCTGAGACTGTTGCTGTTGTGGCAACTGAGGTTTCATCCCAGAACTGGACGACGAAGTCAGCTGAGGGCCACTGAGGTTGGATGGTATATTCCTCCCACCAGCAGGTGAGGACTTCCGACTTGGCACAGCCTGTGAATTCTTGGTTTGCTGAGTTGATAAGGAAGAGGCCTGTCCAACCTTATTGACGGTTGATGTTGATGTTGTCCTTGGGCTACCAGCACTTTTGGACATCGAGGAAGTCGTAGGTGAAGCGACCATAACTGGAGGAGATGAAGAATGGTTGGAACCCGAAGGTTGCCCCTGGGTTGCAGTGGATGATTTTGCATTCACCGCAAAAGATATCTGTGTGTGAGCTTGCTGAGATCGAGCCTGCTGCTGAGGAACAGTTTTGACAGACGCCGAGGGTGTTGGTGTCATAGATGGAAGAGCCTGCGAAGCAGTTGGCCTCACAGAATTCTTCCACTGAGGTGACTGAGCAGCAGTGCTGCCGCTTTGTGAGAGGTTTTGATGATACGCAGACACAGAATTAGTAAACTTCGTAGCTACTGAAGATGCTGCCGGAAGGTGATCAGAGTAGACATTGCCGTTGCTTGTGGATGGCGTCTTACTTCGAGCTGCAGCAGCAGCTACAAATTGCTGATGCTTTTGAATCTGAATTATTTGTGGCTGTTGTTGCTGGCTTCGTTGCAGCTGCTGCTGGGAAGTGACAGCACTGGTGCTGATACCAGCGGGCATTACAGAAGCTGTAGACCGGGATGGAGCAGAACCAAGGTTCAAAGTCCTAGCAGAGCTATCAAGAACAGTGTTACCAGTTATTGCAGATATAGAGGGATCAGACGCATCCTGCCTTGAGAAGGCAATGGATTGCCCCATGGTTGCAGGAACTTTACCTACTGCTTTTCTGTCATCATCTGGGTTTGAAGAATCACCTGTTTTCCCCTCTTCAGATACACGATAATTTTTCTTCTGCTGAGCAGCTTGAGCTGCCACTATTTGAAAGTTATGACTCTGTAAAATTGGATGATTCTGGGGTATTGATGAGAGGTCAAGGCCAGTGGCAGCAGCTGCACCATTGACAGATGCAAATGACATGGCAAATGCCTGAGAAGCTTCAATTCCAGCCTTAGCACCAATATGCTGCTGCTGCTTCTTTTCACTGTGACTACCATTAGCAACAGTAGCAGCACCAACACCCCCAATTGTTGCAGGCGTCATCATGGCAAAGTTAGGTGGCTGCATTGGCATTGCAAAATTGTGGCCATATAAGCTCATAGTAGCACGAGACAACCGACTATCTGCAGTAGAAGGGCTATCTTCACCACACATCTCAGATTCAAGTCGTGATGGATGAGAAGCATGGTGGTTAGATAAATGCTGCCTCTGCTGCTGCTGTAGTGACTGTGATGGCTGATTATTAGAGGAGGCGGGAAAACCCTGCAAGCCGACGCCACCATTTGAGCCACTAGCATTGGCCTTTTGTTGCTGATTTTGCAAGTGCTTTTGCGAAGAAGAGGATCCACTAGACATACTAGCATTTTGATGCCCCTGTTGATTCTGCTGTGATTGAGAAGGAAGTTGCTGCTGCTGAAGCTGTGAAGGATGGATCATTTGAGAAGGGTAGAAAGATCCATTGAAGAACGGCAAAGCCTGCGCATGTGTTCCTCGGTATGCAGGGGAACCACCAACATGTGCCGGTATTGTAAATGGGTAATTATTCTGCAAAATAGCCAAGTACTGAGTTTCATTGCCAGGCATATTTGGGTAGCTGAAACTCATTGTTGGAGCAGTGGCACCCCCAGTAGCAGCAACAGTTGCAGGGACTGCGTTAGATGTGCCAGATGAGGATACTACATTGCCAGTCGGAGTCAAAGACTTAATAGATCCAGGTCGAATAGATGCAGCAGCAGCAGCAGCCGGGTGCTGGTTCAGTGGGAAGATGAAAGCAGGACCATGCTGGAATTTATTAAAAAAAACATTAAATGGCAAAATTTTACTCACAAAAGAAGAGTAAAGCAACCATTAAAATTAAAAATAACTGGAATAACTACCGCTGGAAAAGTGAAGAACTCGTACCAGGATATTACTCGGTGCTCCTGCTGGCAGAGCTTGCTGAAGCAACGCTTGCTTTCTCTGTGCACTCTCCATGCTGACACCCTGAGAGCCTTTTTCCTTTCCAATGGGACCTGGAAACATGGCAAGACTGTGCCCTTTGTCCTGTGCAGAGTTTGGAGCCCTGCTAACAACACTGCCCTGTAACTCAGTAGATGACGCAACATTGAGATTGCAGGGCTTAGTCCCATATAACGATGCAGAACCTGCTGCTGCTGGCCAAAATGGACTCATCCTTGAAATTTGCTGGTGATACGATATAGTACGAGCAATCTCGCAATGGGTTGCACATCTTTTTGGCCGAGGCTGATTAAAAAGCAGATGAGGTGGCTGAAAATGTCAAAAATTTATATTTAGTGGGCATGTTGTCAAATAATTATAAAAAGCTATCATGATATTAACCAGTACTATATAATATCTACAGAAAGCGCACTCACGGGTATCGCTGCAGAAGATACGGTAGTCCCATCCTTGGATACAACTCCTTGAAGAGGCGTCATATATCTGTTGATGAGAAGAGGATCATACTCCCATAGAAGGAAAACATAGCAACATATCACACACACGGCTAACAAGTGTTCAGACAGGAGAGAAATGATATTTAATCAGATCATACCCCATGGGAGGAAGCCCGCCAGGCCAACTCGGAACAGACAATGGTAGAGGAACAGAGCTGGATTGAACTGCAAGAGGAGAAAAAATTCGCATAAGATGACCCAGATGAGCAAACACTGGAGAGATTATGATTAGCAAAAACTACACATACCAGCTATCTCTACGTTCGGCTGCTGCTGCTGCTGCTGCTTCTGTACATGTTGCTGCTGCCTCTTCCCAACCATATTGACATTTCCAATATCTTTGTCAACCTTCTCCATATCAAGTTGTAGGCTCATGCTCGTATTCTTTTGAATGGTAGCGGGTTTACGCGTATCAGCATCTTCTGCAACCGCTCTATGCTTCTCAGTTTCCTCAGCCACGCCATCATCCTTGTCCATTTTCAGTGATCTATCATCAGCTTTTACCCCCACTGCCTTGGCATCCTGCATGCACCGAAAGACAACATAAATTTATTCCCCCTGCAGAAGCACAACTGGCGCAAGAGCGAACGGGTTCTAGCATAGGCCTGAACCACTTACCAGTTCAGCGTCTGCCGCCAAAGGCTTAGGATTTCCAGCATTAATGTCCACGTCCCTTTCTGGAGAGGATCTCGATGAAGGAGGTGGGGCCTGAACAACCCACCAGAATAAAAAAATTAAAGAATAAGAAGGAAAGCAAAAGGCAAGTTGGAATGTGGAAAGAGGTCGATCGTGCAGCAAGGGAAACAAATCTACCATCAAATCTATCTTCAACTTCTCTTCTTGCAGGTTCCCACTTCCGGACATGATTGGATTCCTGAAGAACCAAGCCACATCAAAGATTCACCAAAAGTTTAATAGTGGAGCGAAAAACAACGAAGTTTATGCTACTCACGCTTTAGTCGCTTTCACATCATCACGGTCGTCATCTAACTTTGGCACAGTAGATTCATTATTGGGAGACTCAGGCTCTTCCTTACTCAATCCCGCATCCTGCCTCTCCAATTCTTCTGTCAGCGGCTTAGAATCCGAAGGAATGTTGCTTTCAAACTTAATTGGCTCCGGTTGAGGCTCCGATGAAGCCGGAACCACTTCAGAATTGGCCAAGTCGAATGATACACCAGCGCTTTCAGATGTAGATCCCGCGATTTTATCAAGCGAACAAGTTTCGGCTTTTAAAGGCTGGTCAGTTTCGGCCTTCGTTGTTGATGGCATGGGGCTGCTATTACGGGCGGTAAAATTCGTCGGATTCTCGTCCTCATACTTGAAATGACGCGGCCTTTTCCTCTTAGGTGCTGCTGCAAAGTGCAATCAAAAAGCGCATATGAGCTTCATCTGGAGGAAAAAAGGAAGTATGACAGAATTTTCTTCCTCTCTTGCTGACCAAATGAAAGCATAGAATGTAGAAGAATGTTAGAGACTATTTGAACTTCCAAAGATAAGAATACCCACCAACAGTGGATAAGATAGTGATAGAAGTGCGAGAATTTTGGGGAGGAACCGATGATGATATAGACGGTGCGGATTGTGAGTTTGAGATCGGTGAGGATACCCAAAACTTGCCATCGCCGCAAGATTTATTCATGTCTTTGGAATCGCACTTCAATAAATCGTTCGCCGTCGTTTCTTGCTTGGAAATCCCTTGAGGCTGTCTCATCATGCCGTACAAAACTTCGGCTATCTCTATTTCGATGTCATCTTGAGCTGAAGAAGATTTAGATGAGGACTTTGGGGGTCGAAGCTTGGGTCCACTGGGCTTCTGCAGCAGCAAAAGAATTGGTTAGTAGAGCAATCGCAAGACCAAGTAATTGCAGGGCAACGGGAGAAAGAGAAGAACAGCAAGAACTCACTATCTTCTTCCGTCCCGAAGCATTAGATGAAGATGGCGAAGCCGGAGACGGAGAAGGCCCCATCCCCATTGCTGCTTCCCTTGTTCTCACCGGAGAAGTTGAAGCTTGCCGATAAAATTGCTCTCCAATTATTCCACCATTCAAAGCCCAACATTCATGCAATCTCTTCGTGGACGCTGAGAAGAGCAATAAACGGAGAAGAAACATGTTGAAATCCCAAATTTTGATCATCAATTTCAATACAGATAATTTGATCACTCCAAATCCGAAGCACTCTACCTGACCGTGCCTTCCTCGGAACCGACACCCCAATCATCTCGTCGGCGGCCTTCCACGGCGGTGCTCTAAAATCTTTCGCCGGAGGAAAGCTCTTCCGATGGTTCGATATGGACGACGATGACAACGGCGATGGATTGAGCGGAAGCATTCTCACTGAACCACCGCCAACATCATCGTCCTCGTCTTCTTCGTCATCGTTAACACTCTCCTCTGAGCTATCATCCCCACCGTCTTCTCTATTGTTGCTGTGCATCAACCTATCCCCTCTCCTCCTCTTGCTGCGACTCGATCGATCTCTGTCGCGTTCCCTGTCTCTGTCTCGGTCCCTTTCACGATCTCGATCCTTTTTCCCACTCCCTCGATCTCGTAGCCTGGACGGCTCCTGAAGCTCCATCGGTCCGTCTTCCTCTGCAACTCCAAGATAAAAGAAGGCATAAAAACAAAAGCCATCAGAAATCATCGAATAACAACACGGGTTCGCTTCGAAATTAAGAAAATGAATAGATATTGAGAGGGTTTAGATCTGATAGAATTCAGAACCTGGAGAGTCTCTAAGACTGTTACTTCTATGCCTTCTTCTGGACAAACCATTCGCAGCCATAGTTGTTCTCCTTGCTTCTCTGTTTCTATCCATTCGACGCCTTGGTTCTCAAACACCACCGAATCAACCACAACCACAAGTTTCACCTCATCTTTCATGAGGAAGAAAACGAACCATAATCGCCGGTAAAGAGATTCACGGCCACCGAAATTCGCAGGTGGATTTATTGGGTTGTAGAAAGAAGATCCTCCTTCGCCAGAAGTGTTTGTTATAAGAATTCTGAGAGATCTTACGCCTTCTCCTCTTTCTTCTTCTTATCTTCTCTTTTGTGTGTCGCTGCTGCTCCAGTCCTCGCTCTCCCCTTTCTCTTCCGTTCTCTCTCTGCGCCCTCCTTTTGTGCTCCAATCTCATCTTCTTTCCGCTATTTCACTCTCCGCCAAACCCACTCCCAACCCTCGTGGACGGTCACGATTCTCCACCTCTTTACATGTTCTCATCCCCACCGTTCCCTTCAATCGTTGATGCCAACTTGGGAGCATCGCCACCGTTGAAAACCCCACTCTTGGAAAATTCTTTTTTTCCCTTAACCTTTTCTGCTCACCACCACCACCACGTGTCGCCCTCATTTCTTTCTCCACAAGCTTCTGTGCGCCCATTTGTCTCACAACACTTTCAATTTCAATTAATAAGTATAATAATGGTCATCAAGTTAAGTTCTAAGTATATTGATTAATTAAAAAAGGACATTGTATTTCCCAAAGAAGTTCATGACTGGCTATGACCGGTTGCCCGGGCCTCGGTAAAAGCAAACATGACGATCACAAGGAATCTGGGGTGACCGCAGAATATATCGCTCCATCCGGTCAAATTCATATTTTGGTTTCTATTTTCAGATATATAAACGAAACTAGTGAGACCACGTGAGCAATTAACCCTAAATATTATTCTACGGACACGATCGCCGCATGATCAGCATCATGTGCGTTTGAAGCCGTTGGATTAATATCCGACGTGGCAGGGGATCACTCAACCCAACCAAGCAGATTTTCCCAGAGGCGCGTGCGCGTCGCCGAAGGAGCAATGTTATCTTCACCGGCGAAACCGGTTTACGCAACGAATGAAATTTATAGCCGAAGCAGGGAGAAACCCCGAGTCGCGGTCACGGAACTTCCGAGAAGTGTGGGTCCCATATTAGCTACCGATCTAATAAATTATTTTTATTTTCTGTGTTGGTGGCTTTGTGCCTTATGCCTATTGTCACGTTCGAGAGATGTGGAAGCTTGTGCTGATGTGGAAGACGGTCCCACAATATTTTATTGCAAAGATTTAAAAAAAAAAAGTATCTGCGGCAAGAAACGACAAACTAGTTAGATGCACTACTCTATATACACGCACATATATAAAAAGTTACATTTAGGGCTTGTTTGGGTGTCTCAAAACTGTGGTTTCAAAAGCACTTTTCTGTAAAACGAGATAATCTCCTCCACATATTTACTTCGTAATCCGTAAAAGCACTTCTGAAACCATGATTTGGTTTCTATCCAAACACCCCCTTAATATTTTTTTGACCTCGATGAGTTACAATTTCTTTAATGCATCGAATATAGGAGTATCCACTTAGAATATTGAATTAAATTAATATTATATTAATTATTAATATTTTAATACTCCTATGACTCTTAATATAAGACTCATTTAACTAATTTGATTAAATTAAAAAGTTAAATAAGTTAGTTAATTATAAGCAATGTGACACGTTTTTTCTAAAATACCATAATTATTTTTCTTAATATCATTCTTCCTCTCCTACTTAATTATGGTTAAAGAAATATTCATATAAATAATTTAAAGAAAATTGATAAATATAAAAAATAAATTTTATATTTAAAATAAAAACAATTTAACAATTAAATCTTATATTAAAGATCGGAAAAGTAGAAAATTACTGGTGCACTTTTAATGTAAGGCAGGCGCTGATGGCATTAATTATTTTGACAGTGTGGCGGCAACGAGGTGGTGACGTGGTGAGGGGAGGTTGAAACATGTGGTGATTGGTTGATGCTCATTGGTGGGCTTGGATCTTGTCATTTGGGGGCAGCAGGCAGTAAATATCTTTAGCGGAATGAGTGGGGATGATAAGGTCACCCGGCTGGGTGTGCTTCGTCGAGAAAGGGAATGCCATTTTCTTGGCTTGCCAGAAACCTACTTTCTCACAATAGAGCGTATTTAATTAATTATCTGGAGAAAGCAAATAAATATCAACTTGAAATGTGGCCTAATTTATAAAAGGAAAAGTGAAAAGGTGGGGCAAATGGGAAAAGGATGTTAGATTACTGTTAGAAATGCCAATGGCGCAAGTCAATTTAGTACAGGTAAATGAAATTATCGTCAGTCCACACATTGGAATCTTTGGGACGAAGGGTGTGCCACGTCGGATGGGCCCACCATATATCCTTTTCCCTTCTTCCTGAGGTACTGCTCTCTCTCTCTCTCTCTCTCTCTCTCTCTCTCTATCTTGTCGTTTAGGGGACCCTTTCATTCTCTCGCTATCGCGATGCCACGTGTCCCGTGAATGCTACGTCAGCTTTGATGGCCTTCTGGCCGGGCTTCCTGACCCTGCAGTCCCCACAGAAACAAACCCTAGCCGTCATTTTAGGCGACGCACTTTCTTGCTTCTTTTTTTTTTTTAATTCAATCATTATTATATTATAGTACATTTTATTATTTTATATACTACATCTGATCTTTAGTATAAGATTTTATTTTATTTTTATTTTGACTTTAATTATAAAACCCCAATCTATTTTGTTTCTCATATTTATATATTTTTTTCCTATGATAGTCTTTCTAATAATGATAGTTCTAACTAATCAACTTAGCAAATAAAGATATTTTAAGAAAGACAATACATATTTATTAAAAATAACTAACTTAACTTATTTTCTTAATCTCTTCAGATTAATTAGTCAACTAATTTTTATAATTAGGAGATAAAGAATCATTATCACTGGAGTATATGCCATTGCATCGTATGGAATCTATATAATATAGTACTATTACATTAAAATAACTTCCGCTGGAAAGTTACTATTTGCATGGTGTTTATAAAATTTTGCTGTGTTCGGTTTTCTTTTGGTAGTACTTTCGTGCTGAATTTTTATTTTTTTAACTATTTACCCCTGCACTTGGGAGGGCAAGAGTTAATCTGAATAATATTAATATTAGCAGTAATTAAATAGATGCTATTATTGTTCGAATTCGAAAAACAAACTAAATTGATCAATATCCAATTTATATTTTATATTTATGACTAATATTAATTTTTTATTTTAATTATACTAATGAGTCACATTATAAGGATATCAAAATGCTTAGATTATAATAATTCATGTTATAAATTTTATTAATCGGGTGTGATGAAAATATATCGAAAGGAATTTAATATTTTGCCACTTTATTAATTTAATTGAATTATTTGAATTATATGAAAGTAATCATACTGTTTTCTTTTGTTTTCAATAAATTTATTCGTTTTCATGTCGAAATATACCTTTTTAAAAAACCAAAATCACTAACCGAAGTATTCTCTTGAAAATTTTTAAACGGACCACTCGCAAATAAACATTGTACTACATCCTTTAACAACCACGAGCAAAAGAGAGGCAGTGAATATTTAGGAATATATACACACACATATACGAGATCTTACAAAACACCTCATTTAGGAATTACTACCTCCGGTTCTTAATATAATAGCTAATTAACTAATCTAAGTAAATTAAAAAAAATTAGTTCAATTAGTTATTTGTAATAAATAGGTGTTATTTTTTCTTAACTACTCTTGTATTTTAACCAGAATTACTATTTCATAAAACACTTAATATACACAATACTACTAGAATAACCTTAAGAAGATTAATAAATATAATAAATAAAGTGATTAAGATTTTATATTTAAAATTAAATTAAATATCAAAATAGCAGAAATAGTATTGGATTTTTATTGATCACCGCTCGTGGCATCCACTGGACGACATGCCTTCTTCGTAATCAACACAGTAAAATAATAAAATAATAAATGCTGGGTAGTAGTAGTATAATAAAAGGAACCAGAGACTCAAGTTGGAGCCACCTTAAAACATGGGATGCTTGTCTCGGATCTCAATTAGTTTACATGGAATTCCATTTAGATGTGCATCGTCGACGCAGTTTATATTCAAGTATTCATCATCTGTATCTATTTTTGTTTGTACTATACAATGACCTACTTGTATTAATTTTAAAGAATGTTATATATATATATATATATATTATTTAGAACAACAAGCCTGATCAAGGCGCAATGTTTTTTTTTTTTTAAATAACGATCCAGTACTGTATTCGAGGTCAATTAATTTATTTTTATTTGATTGAATATGCAATGTATGATTACAGATGTTGAATACTTCACATGTAAATTTCTTGCACTTTGTCTTGGAATTATGCTTCGTCACCCACGCACGCTAATGATTAATTATTTGGCAAAATGACAATTTGACCCTTATTAAGAAAGATATTATATTAACAAATCTACCTCAAGACTATTTTGATAAATCACAAAGAATTTTCTCAGAACATAAATACTATTCCCATCAAAACTGGAGAAATAATACTGGAGGGAGTAAAGCAGTGATAAATTTTTTTTTTTTTGCCAGAATATTAGGCTTATGTAAATTAAGAGATTTCACCAAATTAATGGACCGCATTGTCATTTCACCAGTCGATATTCACTGAACACTCATGATATTATATCAAGAGTTCCACCAGTCCCCCACCTCGAGCCAGTTTAAAAGATCAAAATCGCAAATAGTATAATTACCATCCGTGTCAACGATATATACTGGAAATATTGAAAATGAACGCCCCAAAATGAGTGATATTCTCCTTTTTTTAAAATAAAAAAAACAGTGAATGATAGAAATGAATCTATAATCTAATAAACCAATGAAAAGTCCCACAATCGCAACAGTTACGCGAGGAAAATATCAATTCATAATTAGGCAATGAGCTTTTCTTTCCTTTCGCAGTATCTCATCTCTGAAGCAGTTAGATGGTTAGAGAAAAAGAGACTTATTTCTTACTCATTGTAGGGCCTCCTTTGTGCTTATAAACAAATTTCATTGCCATTTGATGGCATATAAAATTGGGCATTGTAACACCTCACGTAATTATATCAATATACTCGATAAAATATTTAATTTAAAAGTCCATACATATTTTTAATACTGCAAATAAGTCAAAATTTTCAAAACATTTCTAACATCACTTAACAACATAAACTATTAAAGTCTTATAGTCATGGCAAATAAAAATATAACATATCATGTGCTTGAGGAGCACAAAAGCCTT